AACTGAAATATGTAACCAAGCCATTTTTTATATCAAAATGATAGGCGATAATATGATATTATCCTCAGTTCTCGTCACAACTTAGCTTCATAATTATTAGTAATATTCATTAGTATCAGAAGAGATTTTATAGTAGTAATGGTTGAATGGTTGAGATTATGAGCCACTTAAAGCTAGACCACCATGGAAAACCTGGAAGCACTGGGTGACCGTTTCGTCCTATTGTGGGACTCCTCAGCATTGCATATCCACGATCCCACCTTGTGAGATTCGAATCCAGAACCTATCAGTCCCACAATAGGATGAAACGGCAGTCCAGTGATTCCAGCTTTTCCATGGTGGTCTAGCTTCAATTAACTCATAATCACAACCGTTAAAATTAATATTTAATACTTGAAAATATATTTATGTAGTAAGAAAGGAAGCAATTCAGCGAAGAAGATTCTCATCTCGACAATTTCATTTGCTTATACACTACAATAGTATTTATATTTATTTATTAATTAATTTACCTATTTTCTTATATCAGTTCTAAAACATTTCAATATAAGAAAAACCTAATGTTGAATTCTCTGCTTACATTAGTGAACATTGATGATCCAAATTTTTCAAAGTCGTATAAACGAAGAAACGTCTTTCAAATGAAAACTGACAAACTGAAAATAAATATAAACATATATTCATTTGTACTACTACTACTACTACCACTACTACCTACCATCCTACCTACCTACCTACCTACCCCTAAACAAGCAAACAAACAAAACTAAATTTTGAAAATAACAAATATCAATTTAGTTTATTTTTTTATATTCATTAAAAAGGTCAATGTTTTAACGTATGAAAGAAATTATTGGCATTTAATTATTGAACAATGAAACTCATAGTGTTATTACTTAGTTACTCACATAAAACGTCTCTTTATTTAATAAAACAAATTCAAAATATTTACTTTTATAAACCTTAATAATAATAATAATGATAGTCACATTAACGATAATGATGATGATAATAACGATAACAGTTTAAGCTCAAAATCTCTTTGTATAAGATAAACTTATTAATGATAAATTAATTCTGTAATCAACATAGAAGTAATTAGAATAGATTAAGTCAATCAGTTTACTGCAATTTAAAGAATAATCATTTTTGTAATAATAAATTATAATTTATTTCAATTTACTTAAATTAGAACAAGATATATTGATGAATAGTATTGTTTATTGATAGATCTTCATTAGGCTTTACTTTGATCCATTAGAATATTTACGTGTATATTTGGAAAATATTAGATCAATCAAAGAAATTTATGAAATCAATGATAATCATAAAATAAGGATTAAACAACTGATCATAATTTCACAGGTTGAAATCATGAGTCGATTGAAGCTAGACCACCATGGAAAGCCTGGAAGCACTGGACGGCCGTTTCGTCCTATTGTGGGACACCTCAGCTTCAACTGACTCATGATCTTAACCATTGAGATTACTATAATATTCACAAAAACCCTTCTGATATTAACCAACATATGCTGATTAGTGACTGGCTTCAAGACGTATTTTCTGGAGTTCTAGTGAGAAGCAGTGATCAGTGGAGCTCAACCGGGTCTGTTGTGAGTTAGTAGCTGACGGATGACAATGGTAGATGTGTCACTCAATTTCATGGATTAGTTGAAGTTAGACATTCACACTGCTGGGTGCCAGCTCAGTGGTCTAATGGCTTAACAACCGTACGCGAGACTGATAAGTCCTGGGTCTGAATCTCGCGAGGCAGAATCGTGGATGAGCACTGCTGAGGGTTTCCATAGTAGGACGAAACGGCTATCCAGTGCTTCCACGTTTTCCATGGTGGTTCAGCTTCAACTGACTCATGATCTCAACCATTGAAATTCTTATAAAATTAATAAACGAGCATCTTAAGGAAGTTATTAGTATACTACAGTTTTATCAGTAACATATTCACTAATGCTTAATCAAATGTTGAAAATGATAACTGTTAAATCAATTCAACAATCTACACTAAGCAATCATGTTCACTTGTGAGGAAGAACTAGACATCGAAAATAAAGAATATTTGAGCGAACAATTGTTTTTCATAACTATATCATCCGGCTTTATAATTATAAGTCCATAATTATTGTGATATTTTACAAAGGCTAAAATAAGGTATGTATTAATGAATTTTACGATGTTATATGCTGAAAATGGTGAACGTTTGCATTTGTTACAAAATAAATACCTCAAAATTGTGTTACTTACAAATCAGTAAGGTCATTTAATAAAGGTCAGAATGATTTGTAATAAAGTGTCAAGTCATAATTCGTATAATAGTAATATAACAAAATAAAAAAATTGTATCAGGAAAATGCATAGTAGAAGTACTTCATCTTGTTAATCGAGGTAATCATGATAATAATAATGGTAGTAATTAGATATCATTTTGCAATTCCTCCATATCCTGCTTATTCTTAAAGATGGAACTATTAGTAGAGGAACATATTGAAAAGTTCATCTGCGGTCAGTACATTATTTCTCGCCTCCTAGCCATTCTTTACAGAAAAAGAACTAATTAGGTGCCCTACAACGAGAACTGGAAAGATATACTCAGAAGACATTATAGACAAAATTAGAGTTTACACAAATGCTGTTTGGAAAGATTTGTCTTGAAGATATTCTGTGAAAGTACAATAAACAGGAAAATGGAGACACAAACTATTCGTGAGACACTTTTTTTCTTGAAGCTGCGATTCGATGGTAGCATGGCTGGTGATTTTCTACGAAACAGATGAACCATAGTGGTGAAAAGAACTTTGAATGCATAATAAGGTTTCCCTAACTCAAGAATCAATTACTTGACTTCGCTACATCAATATATATTAACCATTTCTGCTGCTCATGTGGAGAAGATATATCTTGGGCATGAATAGACAACACGAATAACGAATTAGCAAGTGTCTCACTTCGTAGTTTGAAAAGGGTCATACGAAATCAATATACAGCTCTTGTTTACCCCATTTGGCAGATAGTGGTAGGGTATTAGAAAGGAATAAAGTATTCAGAGTTATTTTTAAAAATTCTTCAAATTTTCTGAATGGGGTTTGTTCTCGTCTATTACATATGATGGAGATCGCAAAGATTTGGACTAAGAAACCCAAACTTTTAGTTCAGAAATATTTTGTTCTATCACTTCCAATTTCTAAGTTAAAGGAAATCTAACAGACGATATTTATGATTGTTTTCTAACTTGCGTTTATTTCTCTTCGCACCTTTACCATCAACATACCTAAAGTGACTATTTATACGCTTATTATGTAATTTTTAACGATAACAATGTCAATATGGGAGGTTGTAAAGATTATTGAATCTTCATGGTTTACTTTATGGACTGATCTCGGTTTATAATTTCTTATTTCTCAATTTAATGCAGATAATGTTTTATCTTTGACTACTACAAAATTTCCTGTGATATGATTCATTGACTTCGTTCTTCATTCGAAGGATGTTTAAACAATTATTCATGAGTAACATTAGTAAATGAGCCTGCTCTAATTGTGTTTTCTATACCATAGGGTTATCCAGTATACAATGTACTGGTATAATAAACTTTTGTTAGTATTTTGATGCTATATTAATTAACTTCGAAAGATACACTACATAAAATAATGAGTTAAGGATTTTCAGTAGACTAACGAAAGGTGTATTAGGTTTGGCAAATGCACTAGTCATTGCAAAAATAAATGCACTGAATAAAGATTTCAATTTACGAAGGGTGAATTCTTTTAGGGTTTATTATTAAGGAATATTAGTTCATTTTATTGACAGCTATTTATAGAATATCTTACTGTTCAGTTATTTTCACACTGACTCTTTTCATTTGATATGACACTATTTGTTACACTGATACTTTTCAAGAATTGAATTTATCAAAATATCCAATGTTATTATATCTTGTTATGGATGCTGAGGAAAAATAGACCAATAATTATCATGTTAAGTCCAATGGTGTCCTTGGACTTTAAATGGACATTTCCTATTGGTCGATATCTGTTCACTTGTTGAATATTGTACAAAATGTTGTTTTCTATTTTATGGTACGATGTGGTATGCTTGATTGGTATATAAACAAAGTATGTTTGAAATATAATGATTCATAACTCAGAGGCTGTGACTTGCGTTCTAGACTCAACTGGCTGGGCTAGACAGGGGAGCGAGACCAATCAGGGCACCAGGTCGTCCTTACGTGTTTAGGTGTCACTGTCCACTGTAATCGATCGATATAAACGCTGCTTATCAAAATCTGCAGTCCCACCCGTTACAACACATCCGTATTATTCACGATTATCCAAGAAATCGAAATAAATTTCCCCTAATTAATAATTGTCATCTTTTTAAGTCTTCACTCGGAATTCACTCTCAAATAAATATTTTGAACGTAACAAACACATCGCCACCTAATCAACATTTAAACTCTTACTCATATTGATATCAACATAATATCCTTTGATTAAGTTATTAGCGATCTGAGTTGAATAGTTCAGTGTATAATGTGCTAATGTTTCAAACGAAAGATATAGTGTTTGAGACTCGGTCGGAACACGAACACCAGGATGCAAATACATATAACTAATGATTCTTTACTTGAAAAAAAAAGATATATCCTAGATTCCACTTCTAGCTACAGCCCATCTATTCTAACAAACGTTTGACAGTGATTTACGAAACGCGACTACCTTCAGCAAATGAAAGTGTACTCATAATACAGTAAAAAAAATTAAAATTATACGGTTCAACAATCTGTTTTTCTTTCATAATGAATTTTGCATATCCAATAAAAATATTTCATTTATAGTATTTCCGTTTGTTTTTAATGTTGGTACAATTACTTCTAATAATACCATAAACAGTATTAATAATAATAATAAAGGTTGGATAGAATGATTCTCGTTAACCTGATTTAAATAGAAGAAATGATCTATCTCCAAGGAAAAAATATAAAAAACCTTGTTCTTCATATGAAACGTCACTAGAAATTGAAGAAAAAAAAATCAAAAAATAAGAAATCGATTAAATTAATTATTGATTATTCATTGATATATTGTACAAAATTATCAAATTCTATTTCAAATTAAAAGAGAATACTGATCAATTTTCAAATGTAAAAATCAAAAAATTTATTGATTCATATGAAATTTTGTAGAAAAATATTTTGAGAAATAAGAAATTTTAACTTTAACTGACGAGTCTCAAATGGGACGAAACACACGTCCTAGATTCCACTGCTAGCCACTATCCATCATTGCTCACAAAAAGCTAGTGAATTAAGGCAATATCGAGGCATACGCACAGTATGCGCATATGCCGATAACAGACTGATCAATTGCAGTCTTAAACCCCAATGAGAAGATACAAGCCAAATAATACCAAGTGAACTAATAACTTTCTGTTTCTAGATTTATTCAGTTATTGTTGTGAGAAACTGTACAAAAATTTGATATACATAAATTGTAATTACAACAACAAACACTATATTACACATTTCTAAAACATAGATACAGTCCTATAATTCAGAATTATTGAATTAATACCATAAATGAATATAAGGAATTTCAACAAAATCGTCGTCATTCGTACTAACCCATTTGCAATTGAATCGTATTATGAATTATTACGACAAAACATAATACACAATGGATTAATCTAAGTAAAATATACGAAATCATTTAAAAAATCAGGCATTGTTATTCTCATCATCAATAGGAGTCCATAACGAGTCATCAAACATTCGGATTTTTATCACTTGATTAATATTCATTTTGTTTCCAAGATGTAATAAAGATCCATCGGCAAAATGTATCATAAAATCCCGATAAATTTTTTTTTATCTCAGACAGATGATTTGAGTTAAGTTGAGTCGTTCATAAAGGATGGTTTAATTGGGAATTTTTAAACGTTATTTTAAACAATATAATTGACGTCTAATTCGGCACAAATGAAATAAAAGTTGAGGAAATCTACTAATTTGATGTTTTTCATAATAAATCAATCAGAAATACCATTTTTTTAAATATGGCAGACTAAAATCAGTCGCAGATGATCAAGTGGTTCTTCTGTTAGGTTTTCGGTGTTAATTAGCTACAGGTCTTGAGCCTACATTTGGTGCTTGTTGGCCTTCGTCAACAAGAGGCATCTACAAACTCGATGAAGTTGTTGCTATCTGTATATATTCAACCTGAAACATTGGTTTTCACAGTCATATGTGTATGTATTGGGTTACTTGGGTTACGACTAATTATAAAATGTGGGCTCATAGTCTCCTCCCAGTTGCCTCCAATCACTTATCATAGAAACATATTGGGTGAAATATTGCATTGCAGCTTGATTGATAAAACTTAATTACTGTCAAGAACTAAACAAAATATACATGCTGGTTACTATTCCATATACGGACGTATTTGAAAATATTTTAGGCTATCATTAATCTTATCAGCCGAAAATCAATATTGACTTACATGTATGTAAACGTAATGATCGAAGTTACAAGAAACATTCAATCAAATCAAGATTTGATACAATAATTTTCAGATTAAAATCTTAGTTATTTAATAACCAAACTGTTAAATCAAAGTTTGACTAGACCACTGGGCCGAAATCCGACGGTGTTAATATCTAACTTCAATTAATCCACGAAATTGAGCGACACATCCATCATTATCTTCAGTGAGTTGTTATCTCACAACAGACCCGGTCGCATTCTACTGATCACTACTTCTCACAAGAACTCCAGAAAACACCTCTTGAAGCCAGTCACTAATAAGCAAATGCTGGTTAGTATCAGAAGGGCTTTTGTGGATATTATAATAATTTCAATGGTTGAGATTATGAGCCAATTAAAGCTAAACCACCATGGAAAACCTGGAAGCACTGACATTGTTTTAACACATTTTACTGATCTTTTTAACAGTCTATTAAAAAGTGAATGGTTAATAGGAGGAAGTTGAAAATATGACATGATTTTATATTTTATCCAAGATATTGATGAGATACTTTTAATTTGTTTTATATAAATATTTAAGTTGATTAATCTCATACGATTAAATAGTGATTACGTAATCTGGATTAAACAAGCCTGAAAGCTGTTTTTCTTGTTTAGGTTGCATAATAAATAACTGGCAATATATCTATTGAAAGTTCGACAAACTGAGAAGGTTCATAAGTCTTTCTTTTTTTTCACATCTATAGGTGTTCTCATCGATAGAGCTTATCGTTTATTTATGCTAACAGTTCAATTATCCTCTTCATGTACAATTACGGACTTGATTAGTTCGCAAACTCCCAAAATAGGATATTAAAACTCAAAGACCTTTTACATAGAAACTAAGTAGGGTAACTTACTTTTATAATTACAACGGTAATATTACTTGAGAATTCATTAAAGTAAAAGAACCTACATAATTGTCACTAATAGATTACTATAAGAAAAATTAGTGAATCCTTGTTTGCAATCAAAATATCAATTAAATTATACTTAAATTCATTTACCTTCCAAACTGTTTTCCAACAATACAATGCCATGTTCTTCCATATTTCAAATTAAAATATTGTTTTAAATGTGAAGCCATATCTTTATCTATACCATGTTTATCCATTCCATCTGCCGCTACAGTCAAAGCTTCTTCTTGCATATACCGATCCATATCAGAATCTTTAATAACGGCGTTCAAATATGACATGGTGTTGAATTAACAAAACGTTTATTTGAATGGTATATATTAAGTTAAATTTCCAAATCAGTGCTAAGTATATATATATATATATATATATATATATATATATATATATATATATATATATATTACTGATAGTCATTCGAATATACTAATGGAACATCATAATGAATTTAAAGTAAGTGATCACAATGTACTTAAATCTTCATAGTTATATAATGAAATGTTTTATTTCATTCGATGTAAAGAAACGGATGAACAACAAAATGTATTTGACGTGTTTCTTTCATTTTAGGGCATTGTATGTTCATAGTGAAGTTTCATTTATTTTTTTTTCATCATGATCTGAATCATGTGTATGATTAACATACAGAGTACTCGACAGTGAAAATGTTCAAATGCTAAGTGTATACACATAAATAAAAGAATATCATATACATCATGTAAACATTGACAATTTAATCTGAGTTTTTCTTTTCCTTCATTATAAATTATCTTTAATAATAACTAAGTTTTATCCCATCAATGTAATAAAACATTTAAAAGTAATCCCATTACATTAAACCAAATTATAATGGAAAAAATAAGACAAATTTTATCATTTCACTTATCTAGTTCAGTTTATCATTGTGATCATGATCTATCATATGCTTTGATAAAGTTCTCGTGATTTGATTTAGTTATCAAGTGTAATACTAACAATTCTACCAGAGTTGTATATTTTATGATTGATAAAAAATTTTTTTTCTTATTATCATGGTAACTATATTTATAATCCTGTAGTTGAATAAATCTATTTTCTATTAGAATAAGGTATTGTCCCCCAATAAGTTTTGAATCCATTATAAATAATCATTCATTCGTAAATTAGATAAACAATATATATCCCAAATTGTTCCAAAAGTATACTAAGGTGATTACTATGTTAATAATCCTGTTGTAAGTAACAGTTTTGAATAAACGACAACGAGTTATTTTGTTTAAGTGATAAAAACATCATTTTTAAAAGTTCGGTAAGTGGAGTGAAAGTACTGTAGTGATCTGAACAGAGGTGGAATCAAACGAATGTACAGAGCATCTCAATAAAATCTGAGAACTATATATCAAATCGTTACTTTGCAAAATGTCCACCAATTGTTTTAAAATGCCTCAGACTTCATTGTTCTTGCATTTTCATACAAATTGCATTATATTCCCTCTCTTGCTTTCTTGATCTTTTCCCATCTTCTGCTGCCAGACATCACATTCCTGACTCGCGTCATATACTACTTACATCAATATAAGTAGCACGCACCACAGTACTATATAGAAATGAAATCAGTTCTATAAAGCAGCGCAAAAATTAATCAAAAAATGGAGAAAATATTATTGAACTTTGCGATCTCATTACTACAAGTGTAACTCAATATTAAGGGTGAAATTTTCTTGATTTAACTGTTTTTACACGTAAATTTTCGGTATACTTAAACAATCTGTCACAATTTATCAGCTAAACCAATTCAGTACCATTGTGTATATGATATACTGAAAATTTTCTCTCCCGACATTATCTTACAAACGCTTACACCAACAATCATATCTCTATCTATTACTAAAATTATGGAGACGGACGATGAGGTAATACCATAATGATAAATAAATTTATATTATAGCTAGTAGTGAAACCCAAAATGCACCTAAAAACTTATTTAGAACTTATCAGCTGATTGTAGCCGCATTCCAGTGGTGGTCTTTGATAATCCATAGTAATGTCGAACTAACCTGATTAAGGTGTACCTATCTCAGTGAAGGTTGATTAGTTATTGTACATGATCTAAAATACGTCAAAATCCAGACTCTTATATATAACTGTTATGAATAGACCTACTAGAGAAATTTCCCTTCATCTAGCTAATTTATACTCTTACTCCATAACAAAAACTCTACCTGTAGCTCTTCTAGAGTTACTGCCGGTCCCAAGCCCTGGACATCGCAGATAACCTAGCCCTCCTATCGCATACACACGAACAGATGCAGACAAAGACAGCCAGTGTAGCAGCAGTCTCTGTATCAGTAGGCCTCAGCATACACAAAGGGAAAACCAAGGTCCTCAAATTCAAAGCGGAGAACGGCAATCCAATCACACTTGATGGCGAAACTCGGGAAGATGTAGAATCCTTCACATACCTGGGAAGCATCATCGATGAACAAGGAGGCTCAGATGCAGACGTAAAGGCAAGGATTGGCAAAGCAAGGGTCGCATTCCTACAGTTGAAGAACATATGGAACTCAAAGCAACTTTCAACCAATATCAAAGTGAGAATCTTCAATACGAACGTCAAGGCAGTTCTACTGTATGGAGCTGAAACTTGGAGAACTACATCAACCACCATCAAGAAGGTACAAGTATTTATTAATAGCTGTCTTCGCATGATACTCAACATCCATTGGCCGGATACCTTCAGCAATAGACTTTTGTGGGAGAGAACAAACCAGTTTCCAGCTGAAGAAGAAATTAGGAAAAGACGATGGAAATGGATAGGACATACATTACTCAAATCATCAAACTGCATCACGAGGCAAGCCCTAACTTGGAATCCTGAAAGGAAGCGGAAAAGAGGAAGGCCAAAGAACACATTACGTCGGGAAATAGAAGCAGATATGAAAAGGATGAATAACAACTGGAAGGAGCTAGAAAGGATTGCCCAGGACAGGGTTGAATGGAGAATGCTGGTGGGCGGCCTATGCTCCTTCACGAGGAGTAACAGGCGTAAGTAAGTAAGTCCATAACAAACCTATAGTACGAATCCGTTAGATTATACCTGGTAAATAGCTTACTTGACCTTAATCATATAATTCATCTTATAATTGTAATAATGAACATAAAAAACTAGATTAGTTCAAAAATATATATAGGTCGATTAGAAAAACAACCAAAAATACAAATGAAGAGTGACTTATCATAGTAAATATTTTATGTTTTACTCAGTACTTTTGTAGTGAAAGAAGACTTGGTGGGGATAACCAATTTATCGTTTAGCGCATAATTACAGAGTTCATTTGTGAAATGTGAAAAACACACATTAGATACTTCATTTGGAAATTTTCCATCATTTGTCCATTACATCCTTCATGATTTTTTCAATTCTCAATTCCTTTATGCTTCCATTTCTGTTTTCTTCACTTCAGTCTTCCTAACCTTTTTTTGACAGACATTCCGTTTCTGATTGGTGATACATAATACTTATATCCGTCAATAAAACTGGAGCACATCACAATTTTACTTGATTCTTGCTAGTTATGAATACTACTATAAAACTTGTAAGTGAACTGGGATTGTCCAAACTATTCGTTATGGCTTTTCGTAAAGTCAGCGTTTCAGTCATTCTATCAAAAATCTACTGGATCCTAAATCATTTTCAAGCATTTGGTTTTACTAAAAAATATAGTAACTTAGTATGGCTAGAAAGAAACCTAAAAAATCAATCATATATCCGTGTATGATGCAATAGCTTGTTTGGAATACATCAATTACATTAATCCCATCTTCCTAAAATCGAGAATTTTCCAGAAATTAGGGGTGTTATGCAACCTCGCAACATCTTGCAATCCTAAACTGTAATAGTGGGAGTCAATTTATAATAAAAGTTAATATATTGTAAAATATCAAGCTGAACTCTCATGAACAAACTGTTTGACGTAACGTCTATGATAAAGATGTGATATATGCAATTCTAAAGCATACTTAACTGTGCATTTATGAAGTTTATCTGACTACATTTATCATATATAACTTAATGGTGAAAATTGTGTGCTTATAACATTTATGATTGTTAATGACGTAAGTTAAAATGATGTCAAATGGGAAATTACGTCTTACATACATCTTACACTTCATGTTACTAGCGACTCTGCCCTTGATTTTCAGTTAAAATGGTTTATCAATCATGTATATTTTAAATATTACCTTTTCTTTTTGTATAAACGCTTGAATAAATTGGCTTGTGTTCTGTAAACATTTCTAATATACATTTTTACTGCTAAATTCTCACAACTTATAACGTTTTTAATTGTTTACTTTTAATCTCCGACTTTCGTTCATCAAACAGTATTATGTAGCCTATAAAAAGCGTCTTTCAGATAATCTGTTACTTAATATACAGTGACAATTAATATAAGAGCTTTTTACCACAACCTATTTACTTTCAGATCTGAGTTAAGTAATCAAGCCATTTAGCCTAGTTGGTGTATAGACGTTTCTGTTATATGGGGAAGACGTTGATTCCTGAATAGCACAGTGGCAATATCACCGATAGTTTTATTTGGTGACTCAGGTTTGCATCACACAAAATGTTAACAATTTATTCAGATTTGCAGTTGTGCTCTGTCAGTGAGCACTAGGTAGCATAAACTCTAACCTCAGAGCCTCCTACGTATAGCATCCAGTAACCTAAAATTAAAATGTGATACCTAATTTTACACATATTAGTTTAATGCTTATTTATTGACGGAATTCTATGCGATTATTCGATAGAAAATTATTGAAGAGTTTTTATTTTAGTGAACTCTGTACACTGTATTTCAGATCATTCATAAACAAACATGCTGATCATATTAATATGAGAATTCCCAAACATGAGATACTTATGCCTAGCAGCTCTTACTCTAATCCTATGGTCATATGAAAACACTTTGGATTTCACGTTACAAGCTGAGATGATCTCAAACAGAAATTGTATAATTAAAAGTAGTTTAAACTGATTAAACAACTTTCTTTTTAATTTACAGACAATTATATTTCGATGTAAAAGTATGTTATAGTTTACATACAAATGAAATGTTGTACAATGTGAAATTGGTATACAAATGTTGACCGTTTAATTACTGAGATACTAAATAGGTTTTTGCACATTTGTTGAATTTCTGTCTTCTATAGCGACGTTATTGTCTACGGGATGGTGTTGCCGACCCCATACCCAATCCTCCTCCTTCACTTGGATTTGGAACCGGCAGTGAACCTAGAATGGCTACCGGCGAAGTTGGAGGGAGAATCCTAGTGAGCAGCCAATGCTCCTCCATGAGAGGTAACAAGCGTAAGTAATTATATAACATGCTGGTTGCATATTAAAAAAAAATAAACAGACAGATAATCTTGATGAAAATGACAATTTAAAAACTGTGTTCATGAAGAATTGCATACAATCGCAGTATGTGAAAAACAAATTCCAATTCATTATAAACTGTTTACAACTAAGGGATGGTTTTTATAAAAATAATTCATTATATGAAATACATAAGATAAATCTATAATTCATAGTTATTCATTGTTCACTATCATGAAAATGCATTGATATAAAACACTTTTGGTGATTTATAAGACAGGATTTAAGTGCCTAATTTCTATAAGATGCATACTTTTTTGGACTAATGATATGTGATTATTTAATTATAGATTGACAAGCTATTTAACTAGTTCACTACATCAAAGTGCTCCAGCCAAGACATTAAGATAATACTTAGTCATTTTGTAAAATGTTATCCTAATGTTTCATCAAGTTAACTTGTCAAAAATGTTAAACTTTAAATATTGAGAGGTTCTGTTAAGCGTCTCTAGAATGTGAACATTTAGATCAGCGTTCAGAATAGATTGTTAATTTATAGGCCTTATAATGAAAATCGAACGTTAGTTTCAAAGGCAGTGTAGAAGTGGAAGGAAGCAGCAGCTGACCGGTAAAATGCTCAATAACTAAATAAGTTTTAAACATGAGTCACCCAATCCTAACAGACTAATCATTCATGGTCAATTTGAAAACAAGTCGAAAACAGCTAAGTTTAGTGCGATTTCTCATCTTCGCCTTGTTGAGGATTCATTTAAACATATAGAGAAGCCAAAACTATTATTATACAAGACACTTACACAAAATCATGAAACATCAGAAAATCTAGGTTTTCTACTCATTGGGACATTACTAATATATTATTTATTTACAACAATCTACCCAATGCTCAATTTATTCGAAATTATCAAATCAAACCTTGGTAATGATACCTACAATATACAAGGCACTTATTCAATCTCTTCTATGATTATCTAAATCCCTTGTTTTTAAAAAAAATACTTCTGTCCTTCTCTCTTGGATCGTTAACCTTTTATCCTTTGTCAACTTGTCGCCGCTGCTATGTCTTTTCTGGTTAGGCTTTGTTTCATTTAAAAGCAGTTATCTCATCATGGTATATACTTCTATTTCATAATTAATTGTCTTTATTTGACAAAAACGATTTAAAATTAACGACAATTCAAAGGTGTACTCTCTCTCCTTAATAAAATGTGTTAATGTTCTCAAAAGTTTCTATATTAGTGAATGGTTTCTGATAACATTATTCAATCATATAACTAGTAAAAAATGCCGTTGATGTAAATGTTTAATAGAATAATGAAATCTACATAACCGCAGATTATAAATAGTATGTATCCGATAACATGAACTTTTAATTCACTAAACGATAAACTAATTTTCAATGAAAAGAAATTAACATCAACACTAAAACTTGATTGATAACTTCCAAATATAACAAAAAGTATGTCCTGGATTTTCCTGCGAAACACTACTCAATAATACTATAATGAACAAGAACACAAGTGGAGATAATCGAATGCATTTCAGTACAAAACTACACAACGTCTTAGTAAAGTCTGGGAACCATACATTAAATACTTCATTTACAAAATATTCATTAATTGAACCAGACATTATTGTTCCCGCATTTCCAAACCAATTGCTTTCTTTTCCTGTTCTTTCCTTCTCGATCTTTTGCTACCAGACATTCTATTCCTGACTAGCGTTATATACTACTTATGTCGACACAACTAGCGCCCACTACAATACAATTAATAACAAAGTAAAAGCAATTAAAGCACTATATTCGTCATATATGACAGACTTTCTTTGCTTTATTTTTTCTGGCTAACTCAAATATATGATTAGGTTATTGTAACTAATGCATTCAAATATTTGAATAGACATTTTTTCATGACAGTTGATAATCTAAATTGAATCGTGGTTTAAATTGGTTGTTAGTAAACAAAAAGATAAAACAAAATGTTTCATATTCATATTATGATTAATTATCGTATACTCAGTAATGATCTATTTCCTTGGTTTTGATCAATGTTCCAATGTTTATTTAGGTAAATAATTTAATATTACAGTAATTTTAGTAGTTGAGATCATGAGTCAATTGAAGCTAGATCACAATGGAAAACCTGGAAGCACTGAACAGCTGTTTCGTCCTATTGTGGGACTCCTCAGCAATGCGCACCTACGATCCTACCTCACGGGATTCGAACCCAGGACCTGTCAGTCTCGCGCGCGATCGCTAAACAATTAGACCACTGAGCCGGCATCCAGTGGTGTTAATATCTAACTTCAACTAATCCATGAAATAGAATGACACATCCACCATTGTCTTGAGTGAGTTACTATTGTTTAGTTTTTGTTATATAAAATCAAATCAGAGAGAATTTTGAAACTTTAAATAAACGCACATTTCTATTGTCTAACTAAGTTCAATTGAGATTTTTTCTCCAGAAATTCTAAAAAACTCTTATTTACTTACTTACGCCTGTTACTTTTAATGGAGCATAGGCCGTAGACCAGTACTCTCCAACCCACTCTGTCCTGGGCTCTAAAAAACTCTACTTCCACTCAAACTTATCAGTGTTTCGACTAAACTATTTCATTTCAACAATGGTAAATAATACATATTTCCATTTTGAAATAACCCTTACATTTCTAAAATGATAACATTAAGTGATTACAAAATTCTAAAACTCAATATTATTTTAGTTGTAAACACAAGAATCTATTAAATTATCTTTTCTATAGTCTATCACTATGAAATAAATCAATGGAAAGTCATCTTTTAACAAACATATATCACCACATACTTTAACATAGTTTCATTCTACATAATCAATATTATCTATAACATGTTTCAAAGATCACAGCAAATAACATTCTAACAATAACTGTTTTCTTTTCTTAATGCATTCACATCAACATACAATAATACATAGTTTCTAAACCATAGATAATAAGTACAAATGAGATAGAGGTGAATAAGATTCTGATAAAAGTAATATTAACATTGACTAATCAGTGTTTTAATTTCATTGTGTATTTGGTTGTTTGTATACTATGAAGTTAACAATGACTGTATATAATCGTACAAAAACATGGTACTTTCTTAAATCTCTAATACAATCCAATTATAAATAGTACTCTAAGTATACATAGATATGTATGTACTTGTACATAGTCACAATTGTGTATGTTCATATGCTCAAATAGTTGACTTTACAAATATGTTACTAAACATATAAACAATGAGTGTACTTGATTCGTTTTCTTTCTTAAAATATATATATTTAATAGTGCCTTATTAGATTACTCTTTCTTTTGTATATTGATTATACAGTTAACATTCAGTTTGATCCTTTTTTATTATTAAAAAAAATAGTATATCTAAAATTGAAACATGTCGTTTGGTAAAGCTGTTGTAAAAAATGCTGATATGGAACCAGTTATGCAAGAAGATGCTGTACAAATAGCTGCTGTAGCACGAGAAAAATATGAAGTAGACAAAGATATTGCAACATATATTAAACAACATTTTGATCGAAAATATGGACGTACATGGCATTGTATAGTTGGTAAACAATATGGAAGGTAAACATTCTTTTTATTGAATAATAATTCAATTAATATTCTGAATGTTAAATTTCTATGGAAGTATCTTTATAGAGAAAATTCTGTTGAGACTAAAGAATTCATCTCTAGTGATATAACGAATTATGTCAGTTATTTAATATGATGTTAAACTATTAAAATCACTCAGTAGTACATAACTTACTTACTTACGCCTGTTACTCCTTGTGGAGGAGCATAGGCCGCTCATCAGCATTCTCCATCCAACCCTGTCCTGGGCAATCCTTTCTAGCTCCTTCCAGTTGTTATTCATTCTTTTCATATCTGATTCTATTTCCCGACATAATGTGTTCTTTGGCCTTCCTCTTTTCCGCTTCCCTTCAGGATTCCAAGTTAGGGCTTGCCTCGTGATGCACTAGTACATAAAGATGGATATAATTTATCTGATAGCAGAATTTACAAGTATTCAGGATCGAAGGTTCGGTCATCGGAACTGAATGTTTTTGATGGATGATAATGTGTTTATCTATAATGATATTAAACTAACTTTAGAAAGTTAATTCACATTTCTTAACGGAACTGGAACTTTAACAAATGGTTTTCATATATATATATATATATATATATATATATATATATATATATATATATATTGTGAGATAGTAACTCACTGATGACAATGGTGGATGGTGGCGCAACTTCATGAATTGATTGAAGTTATACATTACCACTACTGCATGCCGGCTTAGTGGTTTAGAGGTTAAGCGCTAGAAGTTTTTAAAAACATGGTGCCAGTTTATTAACAAACTTAGATGATAACCTCTGTGACACAGTAGTACAGAAACTTCAGAGCACTTAGCTGAAATTTTTATAAATATTTAAATAGATTCAATTTAAATATTAAACTCTAATATCAGAACATTGTAACCAAGACCATTTTCCACAATATTAGTAACATGATATGAAATGCTATTTTGCTTATTGAATGAAATTGAATATTTTCATTAGTTATTCAATGGTATGAGTTATCTTTGAGCCATCTATGAGTTTTCAATTTGATCTTTAAACCAAATCAGTCATTTATAAGTTTTAAAGAATTCTAATATACATTTTTGGTTAATGTTGTCGTAGATATTACATGATTTAGAGTAGTTGTTTAACTTCTGGTAACTGACACCTTTGTTTAAATACGTACATATTTTAGTCTCCATGTCTCAAGTCATTTTGTCTTAGTAAGTTTTTCTTCATTTTTCATTATGAATCTTGCTTAGTTCTTTACTCAATCAACTACTCATATGTTTTTCTCTTTTTTAAAAAAAAACTGTATTTCGATATATCAAGAGCTCATGACTTTTTATGTACTGTTATTTCGAGCAAACTTAGTTCATCATTAATTCAGGAAATGACCGATTGTTCTTCTCCTTTTTAACTATATCAGTTACATACAACAAAAGCAGTCTGAGACAATCATTTAGTTCTAGATTGTTTTGCAAAAACAATTTGGATAAGCAAACTTAAAGTTTTAGTTTGTTTATTCATAAAGTGGTCTTGTATTGACTGCGGTAAGGTATGGTCTCCATTTGATTTAAACAAATTTTAATACATTCAGCTATTTACTTCTGTTGTCTACAATAATATCATCTTAATAAGATCCTGATTAGGACTTATTTTATGATCTTGTTACTAGTTTATATTTTACATCTTTTTTTAACTAGACATAATAATTTAAGTGTTTATTCTTCGAACTGTAACGATGGTTTAAATAGTTTTTACTTGACTAAGTGTTTGCAATGATCATACTGTTTGTATTCCGAAGGTAACTTTACATGCAATACATTTGAAGATATACTCATTTTTGATGAAGCTCGTGATTGAATTTAAAGTTCAAATCAGTAACTAGGATTGTTATTAACACACCGTTAATTGTTCAATATTAAAACATGATTAAACTGTAATCCTGAGGGATGTAACAATTTATGAAGGAAGCTTTCGGTTTCCATCAAAATGATAAATTACATCATGAAATGCGAATCTATTCAAATTTTAGGCGCATGTAAACTATTGTTCGTGTACAAGTAAAAGTCAACATGTTGGCAGGTTGTATATATGATCAACTGAAAATAGTTTTTATATACTTAACATAATACATGATAAGTTGATAGCTTAAATCACATTTCTGAACTTAAAATATTTGCCAAATCTTTTATTGTAAACCTGATCGAAATCTCCTACTATGACATTAATATGAAGTGGAAATTTCAATTTAGTTATTTACATTTATTGTTCATCGAGTAGTAACAAATGTGATGCTTGCGTAATTTATAGTGATGATCGAATTCTATCGATCGTTTGGCAGTATGTCTATTAATCTGATTGAATCGGCATCACATATACTGTTAGGTGATTAAAAACAGTCAGCAGGTAATCTTAGGCTTATGTTTTGTGGCAGTTAACACATTTTGACAGGATGTCCAAGCATTTACATTGAATAATACTCAGTGACTAATCAACGTTAATACCTCACCTTGGAAACACCATTTCCTTGAAAACTTCAGAAATCCCCTGTTGAAGTTTTCTATCGACTACCTCCAACAACCTAGCATCAATCTACCCTTTCATTTTAATATGTTTTCTGCTTCTCTGAATTTAGTTAAGTTAAACATTTTGTTGATGTTTTGTAGTTTTTTTATGGGCTCTGATTTCAAAGCTTTCAGTAGAGCGATCTTTTGCCATTAAATTTTATAAAAATCATTCTACTTAACATTTGTTACTGTGCTACTCTGTTATCTAATCTAAAACTCCTACATTATCTAGAAAATGGCAAACAATATAATTTACGGAATATTGAAAAATATCTACTAAAGCTGTGTATCATAATGGGTTAATAGTGTAAAAGTTAAAAGAATTTCATAAAAAATACAACCAGAAATTGTTATCAGACTGTTATTTAATGCTAATGATTCTTTAGATGTGAATATTCAATGAGTTTTGCAATTTATTCATCTGCAATATACAATAAATAAGTAGAAATGACCACGACAATATCTTCCAATCACCAGCTAAAGATCAATTATTGAAGATTATCTATTTTGGCTAAGAATATTTTACACTTATCTTTATTTATCTTTGTAGTTATGATAATTAAGACTATCATTACCCTGGACACTAAAATGACAAACTTAAATCAGTTTAAACCATTCATATTTCCAGTTCAATAAAATCTGAAAACTAAAAATTGTTTAGATCATCGAAACGTCGGTAAAACAGTTAAGCTTTTTCATTATGAATAATAAAGAAGATTGAATCTTATGGTCTCTCTTAATTTAGTTTAGTTTTTTTTTACCGATCAATCCATTAATATAACATATGCGATTCACAATCAAACCATCTAACTCAAAGAATAAAACTCTATCAACATCTTTCTATTTACACATTTACTTTGATACTGAACAATCTTTAAAAATCAATTCATGTATTCAATTCATTATATAAAACCAAATTAAACTGTCACTGAAACTAGTTCTATGTTTGTAAGTACGAATTTCATTTAATGTGCTATTGTGAATACAGTAATTAGAACGGTATACATAAATAAGCGTATAACATTAAACTTCACGTGAATACAAGCGGATTAATTATTCTTCAGAAATCGAATATATATATATACGTCATATTAATTATGTGTGTAAACATCTATGTATATGTCTAGTATATGTGAGAAGATACTGTATACACAAAAAATTCGGTACAATGTAAATTCTGTTTTCACATTAGCTATTACATGCCAGTTTCAATCAGATATATGTTACTTTCCAAAATGATTTACAAAGCAAATACAAATAGAAACAAATAGAAAGTTTAAAATCAATTCATGAAATGAATTAATTAACAGTTAATTTGAAACTTAGAACGTGTGAGTATAGAACTGTTAGATCAAAAAAGAAAGAAAAGAAAAGACAAACAAACTGAAAGATGCAATTCAGTAAAGTTATAGTGAAAGATACTGATATGAATGATGAAATGATGGAATTAGCAATACGTGTTACAGCATGTGCTATGGATCGATTTCAAGCGGATATGGATGTGGCTAATTATATTAAAACACAATTTAATAAAAAATATGGTCGATCATGGCATTGTATTGTAGGTCGACGATTTGGAAGGTAAGATTAAATCCCTTATTACTTTGTTTTATGTCCCAAGTTTTTTTATCTTTTGTTGTTATTGCTGACAATATCATATTTTATCCATTATTTTTTTATCATATCTTAGTGATGTTTCCCATGAAGAACGATCCTTCATATACTTTTTTCTTGGAGATCGTGCAATTTTATTGTATAAATCAGGTTGAAATCAGTATCACATCAATAGTTTTGATATAAATACCGATGTTAGTAAATGGCAATGTTCAAAAAGAATGAAATCATCCATTTGATACTCGTTTTTTTATCTCAATAATGTATCCATAGTATATTTTGTTGTTGTTTAATTTACTGTAGACTTTTCTTTTAACCTTTTAAAAACTCATAATATTTTGTGTTGATAGGGTATCATTTTAAAATATTATTATAGTAACCATTGTAAGTTTATTACTACAATCATGATATTGTTATCTTTATATTCAATAAACTGATCAATAAACTGTTCAATTTACTTTTGATCTTAAAAATTGTAAATCATTGGGAATTTTATCGGATATGAAATACTCTTATAGGATGTTACGGAATGAATTGATTTTTTTGTACTCACTGAGTTGATCTTAATCAATCAGAATCAACTAAGTAGAATAGTGTAAAATATTACAAAAAGTAATTTCGAACAAGACCTATATATATATATATATATATATATATATATATATATATATATATAATTTGCACAATAAACAGGGAAGATGAGAATGATGAAGATGTCATGAACATTCAGTATAAGTGAAATATAATCCGTTTTGTCAAAACATGCTTAAAATGCTGTTTGTTTAGGAATTTATAGCACTATGGAAAACATAGTTTTGCAAGAAATGGGTTAGTTATTATTGGAATTTCATTTTTGATGATGGCAGATTTATCTTTGTCAAACGAAATCGTCTTTTCAAAAGATTCACTTTTAAGAATCCATTGATAACGGCTTTACCAAAATATAGTTAGATAGTTACTAAACAGTTTACAAAATCTATCAAGCATAGTACAATGCATAAACAGTAATTCTATACGGTATATATAAGCATATTTAAACATAGTTTTTATTATGTCCTATCATTGACCAGTACACATGGACGATTTTAAGCAACTCATAAGCAACAAGGATGAGAGAGACTGATACTCTTTGATTGATGGTTTACTCAGTACTAGTCGCGAACGAAGATGAAGAACAAAAGACTAGTGATCACCAGTCTAAGACCTTTATTATATTTCAGACATTCATTTATATACATACTAGATCAGATCATTTAGCAGTATTCCCATGGAACAACAACATCAATGATGAGAAAAATGGAGTACTGGGTACACAAATAATCGATTCTCGTTAACGAATGGAAAATGTTATAGTAACAATAGATTCGAAAGCTTTTACCTCATAGTTAAATCGTCACTTACTACAGTTTTAAAACTTGTTTAATGATAAATGTTCAAACAGTTGGGTCAGTTTGCATACAGTAAATATATGATGATAAATTATCTTTCAAAACTAAAAGCAGCTAATCGAATAAGGTAGGAATTTCCTCTTGCCTCCTTATTTTAAAAACGAGTTAAACTGTGAGCAATAAAATCAGAAACGAAGACAATGAGTGCTAGTGTACTTAATACATAAGAAAAGCTCAATTGTATACATATTGACAATAACTGCTTATGAATGTAAACAGAGTGAAATTTTGAATGATTAACTGATTAATTCGAAGAAGAGGGATATGATCGTGGTAATAAGTAATTCAATTTTCGAAGTGTTACAAGTAATTGGCTTACTTATTACAATTATATCTTTCTTCCAACCATTTGATTTAATCATTCAACACTATGGATTTGAGTCCCGGGGTGAATATCAACTCTGGGATGCAGATATATCCAACTGACGAGTCCCAAATAGGACGAAACGCGCATACTGGATTCCACTGCTCGCCACCGTCCATCTTTGCTATAATACTTGTGAATTAAAGCAATATTGAAGCAAACCGCACAAGATGCACATAATACTGATCAATTGCGGTTTAAAATATCAATGGGAAGATTCAAACAAACAACATCAAATGAACTTAAACTTGTGATATGAATAAATTATTTAATACTACTAATCCATTGATATCGTTTTGTTGTTCTAAGAGACACATAAATGTGAGTGTAGAGCTATGACGACGAACTAATTAGAAAGAAATGTTTCTTTGCTTTGTTTGTCTTCCAATGAATTAAAGTTGGTAAAATTGGAAGAGACTACGAAACACAGTCTGAGCAAAGTTCTATTGTTATGTATCATAAAAAGCAGTCATTATTCTGATGCTCAAAGAGATGAAACTGTCAAAACAATAGAAAAATTATTTCTGTTACTGACTGTAAAGCATTTTCTTTTAATAATCTATATTTAGGACTAAAATTAGTCAGTCTCCGTTATTAAGTATATTCCATGAACTAAATCCTCTCTCTTACTAGTGTCCATTTAGTATTAAAAGTATAAAAATCACTTTCTATATTATTGTTTAATGTTTATTTGAAGCTAATCAATACCGCTCTTTCAAATAAATACAATAATTTTGTTCATCATAGAGCAAAACTAATTATAACAATTAAATCAGAATCAAGATAATGAGTAGATAAGATAATGAGTAGAAAATATGTTTTCGATTAATTATCATCTTGATTATAAGTAAATAGTATATTTCTAGTATCGCAATGAGTAGAAAAATTAGATTTTCTGACGTTTCGTGGCTTAGTGTAAGTCACTTCTTCAGAAGAAGTGACTTCAGAAGTTTGTGCTGAGAACAGAGAACAAAACTTCATCAATATCATCCACCTGAGCTACAAATCTCCATTATCTCATAATTATGTTATTTCCTAACTAAGATTAAAGTACGAGTAACTTCTGCGAACTATTAGTGAAGTAATATTATCTATATATTCTTATTGTATAATTATTCAGTAATTAGGTTGAGTATGTCTATATTCCTCTTATTATAAGCTTCATTTTGAACTTTTGATTATTACTATACGATTTACTGTTCTTAAGTTATACACAGTATATTAATTACAACAAGTCGTTGAGAAATATGGTAAGCTCTTTGAAATGCTTATGAGGAGAAAATTTGACAATTTCTACTTCAGAATCATTAATAACCTAGTAAGACTTTACTTTCTCCGACGCTTGCTTTTTTGTTGTCTACTTTACCATAGAAAAAGTGACTGGTCATGTAGATAAGGATAGAGAAGTGACAGAATATGTTTACTGTAAATTATTTGTGGTTGTATGTTTAACTTAACATGTAGTGTCGGCTGCTATGTTAACCCTGCATAGTTTATTCTAGCTTCCGGATAAGCCAGTTTATTCGTCCTTCTCAAGTTACATTGTGACCTTGTGAATTATTCGCCTATCAATCTTGACAGTTTCTATGTGAGTGTATGTGTGTGCATTTCCTTTCTTATTCATCACATGCCTGTAACTTATTTTTGTTCAGCTAGGAAATATCGATTAACGATTGATTAAATTGAGTTGACTAACTTACCTTCTCCACTGCGTGTTATTTCGCTTCGTTGAGTGCACAAAATATGAGTATTTGAAATTCATTCTTGTATTTGACTTATTTAATTGCGTTTTACACTGATGTAATTTAAGACGATGATTATAATCAAGGATTGGCGAAACGTATATTTCGATAACAATCATTCATACGATCCAAATGGAGTCAGATAAAAGGGCCAAAAATGTATATACAATTCACAAACATAATTTTCTGCATCAAATATTGTTAGTCCTTTATCACTAGAAATGATGTATCAATAAACGTTTGCACAATTTTTTGTTTTATCTTCATCATGGTTTCATGGGCAGATACAACGATAATCTTAAGGTTTATCTGTTTCTGATGACTAGAGATTATTAAGTATTTGCATCATAACATCTCAATTCGTCATGAAAACTTGCAGGTACTGCATCAGTTTAGATGCTTCGCTGAAACGTTGAGTCGTATATATAATTTTATTGACAATGACAGTATATTTGGATGGATACTAGCAAGGTTGCGAAAGAACATGAACTTTCACCAAGCTTTCACGGATCTGCGACACTATGCATTTCGCGCTCGTAATATGCGTAAATTTGTTATATTTATATTCAGAAAACCCATTGGAAGATGTTAATATTAAACAAAGTTATCGTTAACCCGTAAATCGTTAGTTCACTTAATTTCCCTTATTCAGCAATATGCTTCAGCTTATCAATTAGTTGAAGGAAGAAATGTGAAGATATGCATGACAAGCTTATTTTGTAAACAGTTTTTGATGTTATTTGTATTTATTCTGTTAATTTTTCACTGCATGTACATTTTTCATCAAATGATTGTACGTGTTGTTTAAGTTTATGACCTTGAACACCTTTTCTTCCGTCGTGTTACTTTCATAGCATGACACACGCTGTCACGTACTAACAAATACACTGTTACACACATACCTCTTGTTCTCCATTCGCTCGTGATTGTGTTAATTGAACTCTAACTCAAATACCGTTTACATTTATAGACTATAATCGAAATATATCATATTCTACATTTGGTTATACCACTGGGAGGATATCAATCTTACAGGAATCTTCAATCATCTATAATTGTGGATTTTGGTACAAGACTCAACCGGAACACTCACAAACCTGCTGAATTAAGTAACGTCTCTAGATTTTGTTGTGTTTATAACATTTTAAGCGATATATTAACATTACTGTTTGTACTTAATAACTCTGTTAACATTTTTGACTTCATATATTGTTTGGTCCACCATAATTATCTGGTGAGCCTCGAGTGCATTATGGTCATTATACTTACTTACTTACTTACGCCTGTTACTCCCAATGGAGCATAGGCCGCTGACCAGCATTCTCCAACCCACTCTGTCCTGGGCCTTCTTTTCTAGTTCCATCCAATTCTTGTTCATTTTTCTCATGTCTATCTCCAGTTCTCGGCGTATTGTGTTCTTTGGTCTTCCTCTTTTCCTTTGACCTTCAGGATTCCATGTGAGGGCTTGTCTTGTGACGCAGTTCGGTGCTTTCCTCAATGTGTGTCCTATCCACTTCCAGCGCTTCTTCCTGATTTCTTCCTCCACTGGGATCTAGTTTGTTCTCTCCCACAGTGCGCTGTTGCTAATAGTGTCCGGCCAATGGATTTGAAGTATTTTGCGTAGACAACTGTTAATAAACACCTGTATTTTCTGGATGATGGCTTTTGTAGTTCTCCAAGTTTCTGCCCCATACAGTAGAACTGTCTTGACATTTGTATTGAAAATCCTGACCTTGGTGTTGGTTGACAGCTGCTTTGAGTTCCAGATGTTCTTCAGTTGTAAATATGCTGCTCTTGCTTTGCCGATCCGTGCTTTCACATCTGCATCAGATCCACCCTGTTCATCAATGATGCTGCCCAAATACGTAAAGGTTTTTACATCTTCCAAATCTTCTCCAT